ACAATTACTACACAAATACTTCATAATATTTTTTTATATTTTATATTAAATACTTTAAATTCACAATATCACTATATACTTTTATCAATAACTATTAACTTTTTACTTACAATATATACTAATTTTAAAAATATTATTCAAAAACAAACTGATTCTCTTCTTACAAACCTATCTAATAATCTACTTGAATAGCTCGATAATAATATATAGTCTTAATAAAACTACTACTAATATCAATAAGAAACTGCTTGAAAATTTACTAAAAAAAACCAAACATATAAAATTCTCTTACCTAACAATATTTAACAGACCAAATACTAATACAATATCTACTCAAATTACAAATTACAAATCTAAAATTGAAAAATAGTTTCTACAAGGATTTTTACTAACAAATTATATATTATAATATCATAATTAATATCTCAAGTTTTCTCTAACCTATTTTAGCTAAAAACTAATTTGAAATAATTAAATATGAATAAATGAGGAGTAAATAATTTAGTAGAATAAATTAGAAAATAGAAAATGCAATATTTCATTAGGTAATTTAAATTTAATATAATATAAATATAGTTAAAAATCTTTATATTTCAAATATATGTTCTATTTTTTTTAAATAAAGTTTCTACTATAGCATTATAAAAAAAAAATAAAAATATTTTTAGCTTTTTCAATAGCTTTATTATAATCTCTAAATATTGCAAATTCAACTGAAATATAGAATTTCTAATATAATCAATTAATAAATTACCTCTTTTTTCTTTAATAAATATGTATTCTCTAAGTTAACTTTATGCTATAATTCCTCTAAAGATACATTATAGAATTCAACTATTTTATCTAGTTTTTGTTTTCAATTTTTCAAAAAATAAAACTATTTATTGATTCTATATAAGCTTCTAAATTGTTATTCAAATTTATATTTAAAAAACTAATATATTGTTTTATTAGAATGATGATGATTCTAATATCAAATATTTTCTTTATTCTTATTATACCAGACTAAATAGTTTTTTTTAGAAAGTTAAGAACAAGTTCAAGCTTGTGAAGAGCTATACTAATATTGTTAGCTTTACATACTTTTTTAAAAGCTTCAAACCAAGTTATAGAGTTATTATTACTTTCTTTAAATTTAGAAAACTTAATAAGTTTTGTTTTTTTAGAGATAATATAAGATATATTTCAAGAGTAGTTTTTAGTTCTAATAGAATACTTTTAAGTAACTCTGCTAGTTTATTTGGATCAGAAGAGAGTTCTTCAAATTCATTATTATAATTAATTCTACTAGGCTTTTTACTATGATTATTATTATTATTACTAAAATAACTAGATATTTGACTTTTAGAGATTTGTCAAAGTTGAGCAAGTTTTTCAGAATCTAGATATAGACTAATTTAATATCATTATATTCTTTCTAAATAGTACTTAAATACTATTATTATTGTTTTAATTATTTTAAAGATTGTTACTAAAAGAACTAATGTAAGGCTAGTAGTAGCCTCTCAATGATTAGAAGTTAAAAGTATATGTATGCAAACTAAAGCTTCTATGAGAGAAATAGTTGCTGCAGCAAATTGTACTTAGGCATCTAAAGGCAGCTGAGTGAGCTTGAAATAATCAAAATATAGATAGTTTAGTATAAATTTTGTAATAAATTATCTTGTAGCTTATAATAGCTTTTTCTTAATAAAATAACAGACAAGATTGCCTAAGGAAAAAAAAAGAACTAATATAGTTAATATCAAAATTAATAGTCTGGTTTGTTATAGTTGAATAGTTATCAGATAGCTATCAATATCAGAATTAAGTTCTTCACTAGGTATTGCTAAATTTAGTAGTATAGATTTTAGGAATTCTAATTTTTTATTTTAAATATTTTGTTTATTAGTAATTATTTCAAAAAATTCTTTTGATGAAGTATTGTTTTAATATCAATAAAAATAACTAATTGTTTAATATATTTGTTCTGATTAGCTTCATCTATACTTATATAAATAAAAGCTCAATAAGAGTTAAAGTAAATGCTATAGCCTTATAAGTATTTAAAAACTACTTCCAAAATTGAAGAAAGAATAGAGAAGTTATATAATTTTGTAAAGAATAACAAAATAAGCAACTAAGATTAAGTTTTTCTTTTAATTTATTCTGAGATATATATTAATTAATTTGATATATAAAATCATATTTATATATTTGTTGTTGATATTTTAATATATTTATTTAAATATTTTAATTAAGCCAAGTTGTAAAACTAAATTGTTGATAGAATTTAAACAAATTATTTATACTATCTCTTAAGCTAATTTCAGAATTTAAATCATACTCATATTTATTTAAATTTTTAAATTAATATTGAGTATAAAAGTAATAAGAAGTTTTAGATTGTTTTAGAGATAGATTATAAATTATTCTACTAGAGTTATTAGAGTTTAGTACTTCAAAGTAATAGATTAGAAATAGAAATTCATAGAATTCTTGTTTAATAATTTGTAGTTAGTTCTAATAGACAATAGATTTTGATTTTTTCTGTTAGCTCAATTAAAATCACAATATTTAGTATAGAGATATAAAAGATTTAGTTCTTTAGATATAAGTAAATTATTTGTTTATAGTTGTTTAATAATAAATTTTAATTTGTTATAAAGTTGTAATACTTGTTAGTTTGTTGGCTAAGTATTATTAAAATATTTAAAGAAAAAATTTAATTTATTTTGAGTATAGTTTTGTATTGATAGTAATTACAAAGAATTACAGGTTCTATTATCATTGACAAAACTATAATATAGTAACTAGGCTTAACAAATTTATAGATTCAAAAAAGATTGTTATTATCAGCTAAACTTAGCAACTAATTACTTAATTTAACAAGTTTGAGAATTAAAAAATAAGTTTGTAGAATTTATAGATAATAACAGTTTATTATAGAATAATAATAATTTAATTTAAAGACAATAATACTTAGTTTTTAGTTTATAATTTAATTAGTTTATTAATAGATAGATTTATAAAAGAATAAATATAAAGAAGATAAAAGAAAATTTGAAGAAGATATAAGATAAAATATAAAATAATAGAAGATAAAATATAAAGATATAAAATATATAAGAAAGAATATAAAGATAAAAGAAGAAGTTAGATATACAAGCTAACTTATAAAAATAATAATTAAAGAAATAGTTAAATGTTACAAGCCAACTAAGAAAAAAAAATTTATTTTAAAAGATAATTTTTAGAAACTAAAAGAAACTAATATTTAAAAAGAAAACTATAAGTTAAAAAACTTATATTTAAGAAAAAGAAGAGAGTTAGAACTTATTCTGCTTTAGAAGAAATAGCAGAGTTTATATAGCTTTTTAAATATTATAGAATAAGAATCTAAACTTAGGAATCTAAGTATAGAAATCTAGTTTAGGAATCTAATTATAAGAACCTTGTTATGAAATCTACTATAGAAACCTAATTATAAAAATCTAATTATAGAAATCTAGATTAAAAACCTTAAGTTAGAAACCTTAGATTAAGAATCTCAAATAGGAATCTCAAATAAGAATCTCAAGTTAGACTCCTTAGATTAGAAACCTCTAGATTAGAACCTTAAAATAGAGTCTTTCAGATAGATACCTGATGTTATATAAACTCTAAAAAAGCAATTTTGTTTGAATTAAAGAGTTTGGTACAAGTAGGTTATACTAAGTTATACAAAGTTATACATAGTTACACAAGGTGTTTTGTGGCTTGTTGTTATACAAAAAATATTTAAATAGTTTAAAATTAATAAAAAATATTATACTAATAAAATATAATTAATAGAATTTAAATAATAAAATTTAACTACTAAAAATCTATATTATAACCAGTGTTGGCTTGATCAGACTAGTTTGACTATTTGACCAAACCAATTTGACCAATTTGACCAGTTCAGTCAAAGGATTTGTACTAGTCAAATTGGTCAAATGATTATTATAAAATAAAATATTATATTTAAAATAAACTTGACCAATTTGACTAGTTTGACTAATTTGACCAATTTGACCAATTCGACCAGACCAATTTGACCAGCAAAATTTTGGTCGACCACTAATTTGCCCAACACTGATAGTACTATAGCACTATAAATTAAAACTCATAAAAAAATAGAATTTTTTTCTTTTACATGACGAATTTTAATTGGTTATCCTGGGTCACCATAAAATAACGCTCACAAGTTAGTGAACTATATTTACCTCAATTGACCTGCTAAAATTTACAAAAAGGTGTAAATATCGATTTCTATAAAGAATCTGGAAAATTAAAGACCCGGGAAATATCGCAAATTTCCCATAATATGGTGATCTACGTTCATTCACACTTTTTTGAAAACAACTATAAAATATTTTGGTTTCTTTATTCGGAGTTATGATACTGAGATTTTTTTCAAAAACTCGACATATTCTTTATAATCTTTATTAAGAATCAATAAATTATTATTACGTAGTAAAACACTGACTCAAATCTTGATATCGATATTACTTGTTTACTGTAATTTAATAATTTTAATGAGTAAATAATTAATTAAAAAAAGGAGTAAACTTTTTTAACGCATTATGGATATGAATTAAGTTAGTTTTTAAATGATTTAAAATTGATTTGTGCACAAGAGAATTGAACTTGTACAACAAAGGTGACTTTATTAGATAATAAGATTAAAAAATTTCCATATTACGTATAACGATAATTCCATGCGATTGTATTTTTATTTACAAATAAACATATACATTATGTGAACACAAGATGAAAATACCAATTACAGGAACATTTTATTAACAATTTTAAATTTATAAATACACATAAAAAGAAAGAAGACTTTTTAGTAATTATTCACGGTTATTTTTAATAATAATAAAATTTGAAAATTTGCAAACACAAATAATCCTGTGACCAACAGACGAAATAACCATTTAGTAATCAATACCGTACATGTGCAATGCGAACAGGAAGATATAAATAAATAAATATAGATGAAAGCTACCAATAAAAAAGAAGATAAAGTAATATTTTTCAAGATAAGTAAATAAAGATTGAATTGATCAACAAATAGGAATTAGAAAAAAAGATTGAGTCATTAAACATTCTTTTTAAGAAAGAAAAAAAGGTAGGTTAATTGCTTTTATGTCGTGTGACAGTGACTAAATAAATTACAGACAAAAGCAGTTAAAATTAAAAATGTGGAGGCCCTTAAAAGTTTTGTGGCTGATAAGAATTATGATAACATCAAAAGTAGAGAAATATGTCGTCAGACAATATTGGCGAATTTAATGACAGTATATGCGTAGTTTTCAGATAGCATACATCCTCGAATTCAATTTTATTAAAAGAGCATCATTCGAGATTTAACAGTTTTTTTCAGATATATCAAGGACTCAATGTCCGATTGGTTATGATCAACCAAGAGATTACGGTAAATGCCTTTTTAAATATTATACTTGTTTATGCGAAAATCAACCAAACCAATAAAATAAATGGGAATTACCAAGTATTTCTTGCCCAAATAAAAACAGGTAAATCCGGAAAACATTCTCCATTCTGTTGAAATTTTTTATAGTCTCCACATTTGATAAGATTCAAATTGTAAATCTGAAGTATTTTTATATATTTGATATACTTAATCAGGTCGTTTAAAAGATCATCTTTCGATAAAACTCGAATGATAAATGCTAGTCGGGAAAATGAAATCTAAAAATAAAAAGAATTTTGGAAAACTTGTAAAACTTGTATATTAATAGTCATACGATAAATAGTTTCAACAATAAATTTTACAAATTACAAATGATCTAATTTAGTATTCTTAGCCCAAAAAGTGATTAACATGAAATGAGAATTTTAGAAAATCGGATATACTTTACGTCTCCGTTTTGGTTTTTATTAGTACAAAATATCGATATGCCACATTTTTTGTTGTCATAAACTAGGAAAAGTCCTGCTTTTTAAGCTGCTCTATGACTCAGGTGTGAATTTCTTGAATTTACTATATGCAGTATTTGCATAAATAAATAAATAAAATTACAAGTAATTTATATATTCAATGTATTGAAGAATTCATACGTATCATATCATATAAGTCATCAGATTTACTTGCCAGAATTGTCGATAAATATCCCACGGCAATAACGCACAGTAGGTACAGTACGTAATAGCGATATAAACTAATACCGAATACGTACGTATGTACTGTACTGTACGTTAAAATTACAATACAAACTTGATTTCTTTTGTATCAATCAATCCTTATGGCGTCAGAGTTAGATAATATAAGAAGAACATTAATTATATATTATTTTTTTTTTATAAAAAGTTTTTCTCCTATTAGGGTAACTAATTTTGGATTTTATCGCGTGGAAACCTTGTGCAGCAATGATTCTGATCAAAATTTTCTTTTTTTACGTTATATATCGATAAAGTTTATTTTTGTTTGTTTTTTATATATTATAAGTTACCACGCATTTGGAAATCGTTTACGGAAATTATTCACTAAAAAAAAAAAAAATTATATAAAAAGTGTCCCACTTTTTTTTTTTTTTTTAAAAAAAAAAATTTTTTTCATCATCTTTGCTGTATTAAAAATCCTTATTTTATTCACTGGATGATTTACGATTTTTAAATACCTGCTTTATCGTTTTTCTCGCTCTTTTTAATTCACGGGCTGTGTCTTTTCGTCCACGTTATCTTTTATAAAAAAGCCACATTTGTTTTTTGTTTTGTGATTGTCCCGTGTTATCCCTTAAAAGAAAAAAAAGATTTTTCCAAAGCCACGTTTCTTTACTTCTTTTATGCCCCTTGACCTTATAAAAGAGCTTTTACTCCGCGCTTAAACAAAAGTTCCTTCTTCTATTTGGGAAATTGATAATAATAATAATAATAATAATAATAATAATAAA